CTTGACCATTTGAAGTCGATGTATTCAAATGGTCAAGGTTTAAAAAACATTAGTAAGTACACTAAAAAAAAATATCAAACGTCAATAAAACTGAGAATATTTCAAAGATTAACAAAGTCTTAATACAAGAAGCAATGCTAAATAACTTTTAACCAAAAGTAAATATTGAATTAATGTGAGAAACAAAGAATTTAGGAAATGATTTTAAATTAGGTATTTCGAATAAACTACCTTTGGATCGGTATTTTGTAATGCATATAAAGATCATAAGAAACGTCAATTTGACATTTGACAACTTGTCAAAGCAAATGTGTGTTGATGAAATGATTTTTTTAGTAAAACTGAGAATATTTCAAATATTAACAGACTCTTAACACAAGAAGCAATGCTAAATAACTATTAATTAAAAGTAAAGATTGTAATTAATGTGAGAAACAAAGAATTTAGGAAATTATTTTAAATTGGGTATATGGAATGAAGTACCTTTCTATCGGTATTTTGTGATGTATATAAAGATCATAAGAAACCTAAATTTAAGAAACGTTAATTTGACATTTGACAACTTGTCAAAGCAAATGTGTGTTGTTCAAATGATTTTTTAGTACAACTGAGAATATTTCAAAGATTAACAAAGTCTTAATATTAGAAGCAATTCTAAATAAGTTTTAATAGTAAAGATTGTAATTAATGTGAGAAATAAATAATTTAGGATATTATTTAGGATATTGGGTATTTCGATTGAACTACCTTTGTATCGCGTTTTATGATGCATATAAAGATCACAAGAAACGTCAATTTGACATTTGACAAGTTGTCAAAGCAAATGTGTGTTGTTCAAATGATTTTTTAATAAAACTGAGAATATTTCAAAGATTAACAAAGTGTTAATACACGAAGCAATGCTAAATAAATATTAAACAAACTAAAGATTGTAATTAATATGAGAAACAAATAATTTAGAATATTTCGATTGAACTACCTTTATATCGCATTTTGTTATGCATATAAAGATCACAAGAAACCTAAATTTAAGAAACGTCAATTTGACATTTGACAACTTGTCAAAGCAAATGTATGTTATTCAAATGATTTTTTAGGAAAACTGAGAATATTTCAAAGATTAACAAAGTCTTAATACACGAAACAATGCTAAATAACTATTAACCAAACTAAAGATTGTAATTAATGTGAGAAACAAATAATTTAGGAAATTATTTTAAATTTCACTGAAGGCAATGTGTTTAATATCTTAGTTGTGACTGCTAATTGCATCTGCAAGCATCTTCCTGATTGCATTATGTACGTTCGACCGTAAGAATCATCATGATACTGTTATAATTATAACCTTTGGGCAATATTTACGCATTCTATAAAATGTAGTTAGAATGATAATTTAATTTAGTTATTAGATTGAATCAAAGTAGTTATAAATAATTATGTATTCAAATTTTAATAATAATAACAATATTTAGTGAAACAGTTAAATATTATAATTTAATTAATAATAAAACAAATAAAACTGTTACAAATATTTTTCTAAATGAAATAAAAACAATTGAATTATTTCTTTGTAAAATTCTATTACGCTTAAAAACATTATAAATTAATTTGTTTTTATAATATGTATAATTGTTATTACATTCTTTTAATAATTGATACAGTTGTAAATACTCAAATTATATTACTAATACAGTTTATAAAGAACAGTTTCTAAATCAGTGATTTATACATGAATATTAATGATACTAATGTCAATATAAACTTCTGTATTTGACATATAAACTGTCATAATCACAACAAAAAAGAAAAATGTAGGTAAAATAAAATGGAAACGCGTCTTTCATGGCTATCTGCATTATATAAATATAATTAATATCATAGTGTGATTATTTTTTATATTTATTTGATATTTTTATATAAATATTGTCTACAAGTAAAAACATTTACATTTACTAAAGTAATTTTGTTCTACTAAGTATAGTGCAATTGTCTGGATACAACTTTTCCAATTGTGTTTGATAAAATAATGTGTAGTTTCTAGAGCTTTGAATGGTTGTATATCCTACATCACGATTAACATTGGCACGTGAAAATTTGCCGAGTGAAAATATGAAATAGTTCGCTTTGTTAGAAGGAAAAAAAAAGAAACAACAACATTGGTATCATTTCGCGGAGCCAGTAAAGTGTGCTTCGAGCGCGAAAGAAGAAAGTTAATAAATAGATAGGACATTAACTAGGATAGAATGCGGTAATTTCGCCTCAGTCTGCGTTCGCCCAGAACACGACTGCGTTTGCGTGTGTCTACTTTATATGAGTGTGTGTGTGTGTTTTTTTATCATTATTATTATTTATTCTTGTATTTTGTTCGTTCAATGTGCATTCTGTACGACGAGCGAAGGAGAGCTTGGCTACCGGTGAAAAAGAGAACGATCGAGGTCAGAAACGATCGCAACTCAACGCGAGGAAACCACATTCACAATCCAGTCTTAGACCGACTGAGCAGGAATCAACAATTTTTCTTGTACCGCGCGCTGCCGTCCAACGTTTACCTTCCGAAGACACCGAACACCAAGTGCGTCTCGCGTTTAATCAAAGAACAAACAAACAAAATTGAACAAACTCTGTGCAGTTTCCACA